ATATATATAATGTAGTCAATTCAGAAAAGTAATATAATAACATTGCAGTTTGAAAATAGAGAAAAGAAAAGAAAACAAAATTACCCAGGGTTCCCAAACCCAAATCTCATCATTGTAATCATGTCTGTTCTACTCTCTCTAATGTGCTTGGTCACTAGGAAGTCAGTATTTCAGTGTTTTCATCTCTGAAATAAGGCCTGCAAAATTTGTTCCAGAAATACCTTTAAAGAGTACTTTAAAATTCCTGCAGAGGAGTGATTTACTGTAATAAAGGCAATTCCTGTTCCATTTTTATCAAGTTCTTACCTAGCTTTAGGCCTAATCAAGACACTTTCACATTTCTCTTTTTAAATTTCTGACATTTGGGGGGTAACACTTAATCTCCTTTGGAGGGAAAATGTGGATAAGCATAAAGGAAGGAGGGGAGGAGGAGAGAGGGGAGGAGACAGGCTGGATGTGAGAAAGCTTTTGTCAGAAGCTCTGGCTACTACTTATACTCCATCTACAGATGTGTGATTCTGTGTAAAACATTTGTCCCTCTGGGCTCTTCCCCTCATTTGCAAAGCTGTGGGGAGAGTGTTAGGGAGGGAGGTTCATTAGATGATTTCTAAGTGCACTTCTGCTTTTATTACTCTAGGTAAGGGGTCTCAAACTGCGGCTGGCCAGCAAGCCAAACCCAGCTAGAATCTGTTTTTGCACATCTGTGAGGTTATGATGGCTTTACATTTTTAAAAGGTTGAAAAAAATAGTATTTTGTGATATGTGAAAATTTACATAAATTGAAATTTTCATACAATTTTTATATAAGTATTATTTGAATACAGCCACAATCATTTGATTTACACATTGTCTATGGCCAATTTCATGCCAAAATATTGTATGTTGAGTAGTTGCCACAGAGACCTCAAGGCCCACAAACCAAAAATATTTACTATGGAACCCTTTACAGAAAAAGTTTGCTCACACCTGTTCTATGCATACGTAGTATACGTGTTTATTTGGGATTGATGCATCTCTTTTATGTGAAGTATGAGCTCATCAGGTATTTTTCAAAATGTTATTATTAGAATGCATAACCCCATAAAATATTCAGCTTCCTAAGAAGAGGGACTGTTTTATTCACCAATGGACTCCTACTACCTTGCACAGTGCTGGCACAAATCAGTGTTTGTTGTGGGATAAACATTCTAACATCAATGCTAAGTTGGTGATTTGAAAACTCCAAAAAGAATTTTTCACTCAGTTCAAACCAAGTTGCCCATTTTGGTAATTTCTAATTTTTTTTTTTATTTCAGCATATTATGGGGGTACAGATGTTTAGGTTACGTATGTTGCCCTTTCCCCCTCCCCAGTAATTTCTAATTTTTTAAAAAAAGATCATTTTTAAAATCTTTCTTGCTGATCAAAAAACCCGCAAAAGCTCTCAAAACCTCACTAAATTTTAGATATGCAATGAAAAGATAATTTTTTAAAAAACCTATTGGAATCATTTTTCTTCCTAAATAAAGCATTTATTAATAATACTAGTAAAATTGAAACGGCCTCTGCCTTTTACATCCGTGCGCCACGTTTTAAAAATGACGGTTATTGGAGTCCAAGGCATGGTTGTCAGAAACATTCTGCGTAAATTAAAGCACAGCCCAAAAAATACGAGAGTGAGTGCCGATCAAAATGAGCGTGTAAGGAAAAAAAGTAAAATTTTGCATTCTGTGCAATGTGTCGAACGTGAACGTATTGCACTTTGTGTTGCAGATTTACTACAGCTGAGTCATTTCGGGACACAAGTGTGTGTTTCCAGGAAAAACGGGAGGAAGAAACCAGGTTGAGGGGCTCGCCGGGTTCCCCCAGGCACACCCAGCAGCAGACACCGGTATTCCGCGGCGGGCGGCGGCGTGGTCAAAAAAGGCACCGCGGCCCCTTTAAGAGGCACAGCACCTTCTCCAAGATACCATCTTGCACCAGGAGCTCACTTAAGCTCTCCACCTACCTTGATATATCCCTCCTCCCTAACTGGGTACGGCCAGCAGGCGGGGCGAGCGAGCATTTTCATTGGCCTTGCGCGCACGGCCCTCTCTCTTTTATTGGTTCTCAGGACCGCCACTCGGCGCTGTCTCCCGCCCACCTGAGCCTTCGGGATAGGTTGAGTGAGGGCTCTTGGGTTAGTTCCTGTTAGGCCCCGGCCGGGGGAGTAGGTTGAAGTCTCCTAAGATGCCCGGTGGGCTGGGACGCCGGGAGCTGTGAAGAGAGCGTGAGGAGGCGGCGAGTGAAGACCCACGGCAGGCCTAAAGAAGAGCGGCGGCCGAGCCCGCCTTCCCTGCACCATGCTCATAGAGGATGTGGATGCCCTCAAGTCCTGGCTGGCCAAGTTACTGGAGCCGATGTGAGTGAGCCAGGCTGGGCCGGGGCCGGCGAACGTGGGCGTTGGGGGCCCGCGGGGGCGTGGGGGAGGGGAGGCGGCGTGTGGGGGGGCGGTGTGGAGGGGCCGCGGTCTGGAGGTCCCGGCGACGTCTTCTCTGTAGTACTATCACCATTGTGGGGGGGTGGAGAAGGGAGAGAGAGAGAGCTAGGGACGTAAAGGCGGTGTTGATGTTGGACTGGGGGTGGGGGGGCGGGCAAGGACGGCGAGGGTTTTTTAAATATAAATATTGGGGTGCTAGGAGGAGTAGCAGGGATCGTGAGGGAATCTAAAATATTGCTATTCGAGGATGAGGAGTGCCGGGCTATCGAGGTATTTTTTAGCTTGAATATTGGAATCGTGAGGGGAATAGCAGGATATCGAGGGCTTTACAAACAGTATTATGCCTGAAGTAAAAGGTCTAGATCTAGAAGCAGAGTATCGAGGGCCCTTTCAAAATATTAGGGCAGATTGGGATAGCAGGGACGTCGAAGCTTTACAGTAATTATTGGTGAGTTCTAAGGGTTCAAAAATACCGAAGGATTTAAAAAATATTATGGAGTGGCCGAAAGGGATGTGTGGGCATCGAAGGGTTTTAGAAATTATCGGGGAGCTGATAAGTATGATAGCAAGGATATTAAAGGATTTTAAAGTATTATCGAGGAGTTGATAGTGCTAGGAGAACTGGCGGTTTTTAGATACCATTGGAAGTTGGGAAGAAAATTGAGGTTTTTATAAGTTTAATTGAGGGTTGAAAGGGCCACACTGGTATGTAATATTATTGGTGGTGAGTTTGGAAGGGGTATACTTGGAGCATCTAGGGATTTTTAGATACAGATACTGGAGGAATAAAAGGAGTAGTAGAAAGAATGAGGGTTTTGTAAAATATTGAAAGATTGAGAGGACAGCTGAAGATAATTGGGGTGTAGGATTATTGTTAAGGGTTGAAAAGAGACCTGTCCTTTTAAAATATTTTGAGGAGTGTTAGATAGTTGCGAAAGTATCATTGGGATGCTTGAAAGGGGTAGCATAGGCATAAACTTTTTGTTTGTTGTATAACCGTTTTAAGGAGGTAGGATTGTGGAGTGTTTATCCAGGGGATCTGGAGTATAGCTAGTCTCTGGAACAGATCTCCGAGGCGGGGGAGAGGAAAGACTGGAGGATGGTGAGGTGGAGAGAGATGTCTTTAACCAACTCTTTGGAAAGAGGGAACGGAAGGGAAAGGATCATTTCTTGCCCCTTCCACATTTCGGTTTCTTACTTTTACTGGGGATTAGGGCTTTCTGCGTGAAAGAAAAGGGGTACGTGAAGAGATGGGCAGGCATTGATTCGTTAGATTAGATTGCATTCGTGGAAAAATTGAGTGTTTTTCAGAGGTGAATGTAGGGAGTAATTTGGGAGATGTGGAGGCATAATAAAGTTGAAGCTGTTGGGAGACAGTGTCAAGCTGCTTCCCTGTCATCTATTTCCTGGTCCTTCTGAGAAACCTTGTTAATTTACTTCTGTTTTTGTTTGTTTGTTTTTTTTTTTTTTTGCTACTTTGGTTTCTTGGGGTGGGAAGGTAGCATCTAGGAAGAGAGTCATCTATATAGCCTAGTGTGTTAGCCTTGTGAAGACAAGATGCCCAAGGGAGGCAGCATTAGGGGAATTTTGATGTCTGAAGTGGTATTTACATTCTGAGGCTGAGAATTGTGTGAGTAGAGCACAGGTATAAATGAATGAATGAATGTGTCCTAAGGGCTTCTGAGTTTCAGGTTAGTGGTGGTCTAGTGAAAGCGAAAATGACTTCTGGGCACGACTGAAAGTTTTGTGTATGTTATTTATTTGTTATGTATATGTTATGTTTTGTATATATTATGTATTTGTTATATATATGGGTCTCTTAAATGTGCTTTTTTCTCCTTACGATAAAAAGTTTTGGGACACAAAGATGGAAATGGACTGTGGTAAAAGTGGGAAATAAGATAGATTTAGTGAAATTAACGATATATGGAAAAGGCTGACAAAAGAAAAAGGTCTGTATATTTAAAAAATTTTGGCCAGGCGCGGTGGCTCACACCTGTAATCTTAGCACTCTGGGAGGCTGAGGCAGGAGGATCGCTTGAGTCTGGAGTTCGAAACCAGCCTGAGCAAGAGCAAGAC